ACCATGGCGGGGTCAGTGGCGCGCCCAACGACGATGGGCGACGAGGGAGCGAGCGACGCATGTGACTGGGACGCAAGTGAGCGGCGCAGGGAGTGACGGCGTGCGGCGTGGTCAGCGATGGGGGGAAGGGGGCGGACGGATGAGCGGCCACGCTCCTTCGGGCGCTGGGTGGATAAGCATACAAGGGAGTGACGATTTGTTTTTTGTTTTGGGGAGAGATAGGGCCTGCTCCTGCGGAGCCGTGTCCGGACGAGAGTTACGAAGAGACGCCCGTGTTGAATCATTATCGAAAATATTAACTACCTAATACCACGGATGGCATGGTTATCAATAAATTAAATTATAAAATTTGAATTTTATGAAAAGGATAAAACATAAATAGATATGTAACATTCTATCGTCGCTTTCCATGAACATTTGATATTTTCTTTCTCCCGCTGCAACGCACGAACATATTTGTTAGTTCCTAATAAAATACCTTTGATTTTGGTCCATCCGTCCATATCATTTTTCCACTTTTTCATTTTTTAGCCGTCCACCTGGTTATTTTGAGCAGGATGCTATTTTCTTTTCCTTTTTTCGTTTTTCCTGGTTTTCTCTGGTCTAATACGATTATCGTTTTTGAACAAAGGGAGTAGTTCACACGTACACATATATGTTGTCATGAATTTACTACTATTTTTAGATTAAATTCGACATAAAAATGTCTAAAATTCTAATAGAGCACGTCACGGTTGCCACGAGAGGCGCGGTTGACGCCTAATGGGTAATGGCTAATGCGGTCCATGGAGGACTACTTCGAGGAGTTCGAGGTGATGCGCACCTTGCCACCACAGGCGTCGACGCTGCTCATTACGGTGTGGTCGCATGGTGGCGTTTCGTGCTACCTTACTGGTGGGGCCTACTGCAGCGTGCAGGCAGCCCCAACGACATTGCCCGAAAAGGAGGTGGCTCTATTCCTGTCCCACGCCCCATTGGGGATGCTGCTCCACGATACTGGCCAAGTTCCATGGCTCTTGGATCTGCATGGATATGGCGGTGCATGTTTTTTTCTGTTGGTGGCGTGTATGTTCGGTGAACTCATCTTGTCTTTGTTATTTAGTTTGTAGAATAAGACCGGGAGCAAAACTACAAAGTTAATTCTGACTCAACAGTCAATGCCACGTATGTCTTTGCGGTGGTGATGCCATGTCGAGAATCGAGACACAAACGAAGGGAATACCTACGGTGAACAACCTTAATAGTTGATGGACCTATAAATGTATTTTCAGAGTTGATAGACATAAGTGACATCCGTCATAAGTTTATGAGCCGCCTATTGAACACATCTAGGCCCTATTGTGAAAAATAGGGCTTCAAAGGATCTGATAAACACAAGTATGTGTGATTAACGTGTGTTTTGCAAAGGGATATACAATTAAGTTAGTCATAAGTGAGAATGACCACAAGCCCACAAATGACGTGGCCCCATGACTTGCGTCTAAACGAGCATTGCGCAAAGGATTATATGAAGGATAAGCGCGATCTAGAAGCGATTGTAGATTGTGGTCATTGGGGCGGCATTCACTAAGTAGTGTGTAATGTCTTTGTTTTTCTTTGGTCCTACTGTTAAGTGGGTTTAAGACATTCAATTTGAGATAGTTCGACGGATCATCCAAAGATCACTATATCTGTCACGTTTTTTCAACGGCTAGTAGTCTTTTAACCCTCTATATAAATATTATCCCTAGCTCATTTTGAGCTACTCTTCACTAGTTTGCTTTTTAAAGAACTTAGGAGTTAATAAGCTTTAGAGGTTTATAATTTAGATAGGTTAAGATTTATTGCTTTATAAAATTTTAAAACCCACATCATCCCTTGGGCCATTCGTTCTTTACAGCACTGCATTTTAGGGCTCGTTTGGCACTCCTCAAGTGCTAGAGGAGCCAAAACACTCGAAGAGAAGCTACTTTTTATAGCTCCAACCTCCAGTTTCTCACCCAAAAACGACTCCTCCAGCTCCTCAGCAAAAGCTATTGATGGATCTGCAGCCAGAGCCATGCCAAAAAGGCCCTCATCTATATTTTAAAATGGATTTAGTACTTCTCCCGTGTGGTTTCATCTCTCGCTTTGGCTATAAAGCTTATTAACTCCTAAGTCGGAAGTAGTGCTTTGGCTAGGCCTTCCGGTCGGAGAGGCCGTCTGGAGGCAGGCTGGAGACCGAAGCGAGTGCTCCAGTCGGAGAGGTGGGCTAGAATCGAAAAGCGGGCGCTGTTCTTCCTCGGTCAGGCCTCCCGGTCGGAGATTCGATCGCCCCTTTGGCTTGTCATTTAGGTACATGGGCCGGCCCATGAGTTGTGCGTTTGTCTGCTTGGGCCGAACCTTTGTTGGGAGGCCGGTCCACGAGGGACCCCGGGTTTATGAACCCAACAGTATGTGTGTTAGCATTTTCACAATCATTTTCCAAAGGATTAGCCACTCAACTTGCTACGCCACTCGATCCTAGCGACGATGCAAAGTTAGATCACACGATTGACACTAAATGACCGATATGCAAACAAGTTTGCCCCTCTTGATAGTACGGCCATGTAACCTAAACCCGGTCATCTTCTCCACACACCTATGACCGGTGTAATGAAATGCCCTAGGTTATACCTTTGCCTTGCGCATTCCATTCCATCTCCTCCATTGTTGATGCAACACATGTACCAACATGATCAACAGTGATATGATCCACTTCATATCATCACGTGATCATATTGGTTCATCGATCTTGACTTCACTTGCTTTTCACCGTTGCCTTCGTCCATCAGCGCCAAGTCTTGCTCAAGCTTCACCGCCACGCGGTCCATCGCTCCAAAGCCTCCGACTTGCCCTTCACGCTTGCAACCGGTCTATCAAGCCAAGTTTTGTCTTAGATCTTCTCCACCTTGATCACATGACTCAATGTCATGTCTCATGTTCAATGAGCTCCTTCATCATCACATGTGTGAGCTTTGCAACATCTCCGAGCCATTTTCAACTTTATGGCATATGTTGCTCACACACATGTACCTGTGGACAAATCACCTGTGTATCTTACATAAACACAATTAGTCCACCTAGGTTGTCACTCAATTACCAAAACCACACAAGGACCTTTCAACGTCGTGATGAATTGACGCGCCTATCAGCACTCGTACGATGGTTAGGCAGAACAGCACCGGCACACCCGACGCTGTTCTTGATGTGAACCCTCAGGTATAGCCCGTCACGGCCACGGGTTATATCGGGGCGTGCCGGTCTCTTCCTTGGTGTCAAAGTTTTGACCCAGGCCCATACGCCTGGACCTGGAGTGGTTGGCGGCGGTATGAGACCCCGTTGGGCGAGGCGGAGCCCGCCCCCGGAGGTCGAGCGAGGCGGAGCCCGTGGCCTCGGAGTCGGGCGAGGCGGAGCCCACGTACCGGGGGATCGGTTGGAGCTGTAGTCGCGCTCTTGACTGCTCGGATGAATCGATGTTGATGATCATTAGCTCCTCCTCTTTGGGTACCCTAGTATTGGTCCCCGACAATAAGGAGATGTGGGAGTTAGGATTTGCGGCATTTATAGTCTCCTATCTAATCCAATTTGCTGAGTTCTCTAAGGCCATCCAACGGTTAGAATAGATCGGACCGGCATCGTGCCAACCCATTAGCTGTGTCATGTCCGGGCCGGCACTGCGGCACGAATTTGTGGCCCAGGCATGGCTACCACCGGGGGCGTGCCAGGCACGGGCACGATGGGCCTTGGGCCGGGCTGTGCTCGGGCCGTGCTTTTAATGTCAAGCCAACACTGGCCTAGCGGGCCTAGCCCATTTGGCCAAGTATAACAGCAACCAAGTTTTAGTGTTGGTTATGACCCGGTGAACCAAGCTGCACACGCGAATGTGAGTTCCCTCTCGCACTCGACTTATACCGGGTCTAGCTAACTAAGCATGTTATTTGTTCCCAGCCCATGAAACAGTTGCAAGGGTTAATCATTGCTTAGGTGAGTTGATCAACTCAGCTAAGCAATGTACAGTGTGTGCGGTACGCCTCGCAGCTTCAGCCCCGTTTGGAATACATATGCACAAAGAAACTCTAAAGAAAAGTGATTCCTATGTTTTGATGTCACAGCTTATTTGGCTGCTGCTGCGGCTGTGGCTATTTATCGTATGCTAGATACAGTAGACATTAGCTCTTTTCTTGTAGCCGCAGCTGAAAAATTGCAGCGAGCAGGGGCAGGGCCTTTATGTGTGGCACATGTATGATGTAGTATAGTTTTCTGACAAATTTTGTACATACTGGATCTTTCCATAGCAATATTTTCGTTAGTGGCGATGCCATGGCACGGACCGAAACTTGCACTGTCACACTACGGCACTGGGTACAAGACTTCCGGCTTGCTTATTGACATGCTGATAAGGAAAACCGGTGACAATTACGCACACTGTTATTATTATACTAGGAGTTCATACAACGATAAAGTACAACACCGCAATCGTATAGTATAGCAGTGTTTGTACTGTAGTAAAGCTGCAGATACTGACAACTAAGCCCCTTGTTTGGAAATTGGAACATGACATCCATGCAAAATTTATTTGTGTCCCAAACGACAAATTTGCCATGATCAGTCGAAGGCGCTATCGACGAGGCGCTCCATGGCGAGCACGGCGAGCCCTTGCCCTTGCCGTCTCCGTCTGCGGCTCCGACAGCCGCGCGCGCCAGCGTCTTCATCTCGGCAGCCTTCCGACGCATGTCCTTGGCCTTGTCGCCGTCCCCGAGCACCGTCTCCACGACGTCCCTAACGCGCTCCGACCCCTTGCTGCCCAGCCCGCCGAAACACCTCCCGGACGCCACCTCCACGCCGACGCCGAGCTCCACCAGCACGCGGGAGTCGAACAGCTGGTCCCCGATGAGCGGCCAGCCCACCACCGGCACGCCGTGCCACAGGCTCTCCAGCACCGAGTTCCACCCGCAGTGGCTCAGGAACGCGCCCGTGGACGCGTGCGCCAGGATGCGCATCTACGGCGCCCACCCGCGCACCACCACGCCCTGCTCCGCGGCCGCGACCCTCTCCTCGAAGTCGTCGGGGAGCCACTCGGCGCGGAACCCCTTCGCCCCGTCGGACTCCACCGGTGGACGCACCACCCAGATGAACGGACGCCCGCTGGCCTCCATCCCCCGCGCCAGCTCCATCATCTGCGACGCCGGGATCGAGCTCTGCGACCCGAACGACACGTACAGGACGGACGCCTGCGGCTTGGAGTCCAAGAACTTGATGCACATGTCTTGGTCTGGCGCGGTGTCATCTGTAGCTGTTCGGCCGCCGGCGCCGATGACGGGACCGACGGCGAAAGTCGGCAGCCCGGAGAGCTTCCCGATGAGGTGAAGACCTTTCGACTCGATCTCTTCGGAGGTATTGATGACGAGGCCGCTCGAGTGTCGGAAGTGGAGGCTGATCATCCGGCACAGGTACGCCACCATGGGGTCGGACCGGTCGGTGCCGTAGTCCTCGTTGAGGACAACGTTCAGGAAGTCCACATACCGAACACACACGTCGGGGAACTCTGCCAGCGCAAGCTCGTCGTCAGGGTCGGCGGAGCGCGGGAACGACGGCGGGCGGAGCCAGATAGAGAAGATGACGGCGGAGGCATAGGCGCCGTTGGTGAGGAACATGCGGTGCCGGACGCCGAGCGCGCGGGCGGTCTCGGCCGTCCAGCCCAGGAACATGTCCGCGAGGACGCACACGTTCTTGCGCCCTTCTCTCCCGGCGATCTCAGTCAGGAGCTTCTCGAATGACGACTGGAGCAGCTCCGTCGCGAAGGTGAAAGTTGGGAAGGTATGGAGGGGCACGGCGTTGGCGCTCTCGGCGTCGGGTGGCAGGCCATGGTCCGACGGCGAGAACGGCAGCTCGGCGAAGCCGATGGAAGATCCGGCCGGCAGCGCGCGCTGGAGGCTGGCGACGTTGCGAGGCGTGCTGACGATGGTGATCGCGAGACGGCGGTGGCCGCTGCCACCACGCTGCCCGAGGCTCTCTAAGCGCTTAGCCAGGTTGAGGAACGGGATGAGGTGGCCTTGCGCCAGGAACGGGAAGAGCAGGAGGTGGCCACTGCCGTGCTCTTGTTGCTCGTGACCCATTGCAACGACAAGCTGCTTGTCCGAGACGTGAATATGGCCTGCTGGTGTGGTGTGTTCTGTGAGTCCGCTGAGGACTGACTAGTGACTACGTGTGTGTGAGAGAGAGACATATATGCACGCACGCCCGACGCCTGTGCCGTTTGGCGCTTGCATGCTTTACCATAATAGTATGAAAAAATAATCTTGTTTTGCAACCTTTTCTATTTCTATATCTAATATTTATATATATATCTATGTATGTGTCTGTATATGTATCTATCTATTATTTATATATTATCTATTAAACAGAAAAAAAAATTCAACCTGCTTTTATTCTTTTCTATTTGATTAGAAGGATCGGAGGGATCTTCTTGATTAAGTATAGGTAGCATAGATCTCTACTATAATGGACCAATTAAAATTACATTAGGTTCTCAAAAAACGATCCCCGCTGAGAGCCTACAACCATTATGCACCTACAAAATTACACACAGAAATTCGTCTCCATTAAAATTAAGGACTAATAAAACATCTAACCTAAATCCGATGATCACGATTGGACGTGGGATGTCAGGTTTCTCACCCCGCCTTCTCACCCCCACACCCCCGCGCCCTCCTCACCCCGCGCGCTTCCGCCCTCGCAGCACAGCCGGTCAGGTTTCGAATACTTCGATAACAGAATAAAAAAAAGACCAACACTAGGAGGACGCGAACAGCTATCCCGCCGCCGGCCGTCTCCTCCGTGGCCTATCCCCTCCTCCACGCCGTCGCCGGCCATCTCCTACCGGAACAGGATGAGAGCGGCGGTCGCCTCCTCCCGACGGCAACGCTCCTCACCGCCAACCCCTCCCTCGCCCGCTCTGCCACACTCGATCTACGATAGGAGGGCAACGCTCCACACCGCTGCCGCTAGGCGAGGCCGCGTGGCCGAGCGGGGCCGCCGCCGCCCGAGGCGTGAAGGAGATTGCGGGCGGCGGGGAGGAGAGCCGGCGCACAGATAGATCATGCCCCGCCGCTGCCTCAGGTGCCCCTGCCCGCCGCAGATCCCTTGAGATTGGCCGTCGTGGAGACCGATGAACATGGAGGGCGGAGGCCATCGAGGAAGCCCGCCGCTTCAAGTTCCTTCCGCCTGCACTTTATTTATTGCTTCTCTTCATTCCTCCGCCGAGTGGGATCCAACGTCAACCACGCCGAGGGGCGCCGATGGGGCTGCGGCAAGAGCTCACTACCTTCGCCGCGCCGGCGCCGAACGCCGCCAGCCCTGCAGGTATACATCCTAGCTAGCCTGCATTGTCATGTTATTTATTTACGGCTTCATTCTTGGATTTACTTGTGTGTGTGTGTGTGACATGGGACAAACCGTGTAGACCCCGTATCCAAATTTGCTTGATGGCGGCCTCGGCCTGCAGCAGAGGAACCACCACCGCCGGAGGGGAAGGGGACGAAGGAGCCTGATCTGACGAAGAGCAGGGTCCTTCAGGACAGGGGCTCACCAAGAGACTCTGCAATGAAGAGTTTAGCACAAGGAGGAAGAAGAAGCTACTTATCCAGGATCTTACTGGCCTACTCGCCGATATCAACCAAGACAAGCACAACGCTCACCTTTCCCATGGAAAGTTCTGAGGCAAACTAGGTAATTTTGCTGCCATTTTTTCTGCCCTTGGTAAAATCATTTTTTGTTGTCTCTGTACTATTACTATACGCCTGAATCAGATTGGTAGCTAGCTTGGAAAATGATTTTCCATGGTATCATTATCACAACCGCAGTCTTCAAACAACCCTACCGTGACGATTTCCTGAGGTTCTGCATCCACCACTTCAAGCTGGGGATATGGTCATCAAGACTCAGGTGCTAATTACTTAGCTACTGTACTTCCCCTGCATCTCTTTAAGCAGGCCGGTATATATAATTCTGCCACGTGGTGCTAATTGCAGAATTGCTGATTATGATATATATTCTTTTATTTACAACAGAACTAATGTCGATGCAGTTGTTAATATCCTGATATGAAACGTCACCTGCTGTTTTGTTGGGTAAGTACTGCATGGAGAACTGTTGGGATGATTTGTGGGGAGGGGAGGCAGAAAGGGGATCAATGTGATCAAATGTGCTTTGCTTGTTGTCTCATTGGGAATGTCTTTGAAAGGTGAATTTGTTTGATTATACAGAACGACAAACTCCTGCAGTATTTGATAGGATGGTAAGTAGGATTAAATATTGATGGTTTCCTTGGTCGCTTCTTTTATATATGGGAAATTTATTTTTTTGAAAGGTGAATTTTGATTTTTTTTTTTCAAATGACCTCGGATGCTTATATGTGTAGTAGTGATGCATATATGGTCTATACCAAAGTTGCAGGTTTCAATATATTCTACAACTATATATTTGATAATATTTTTATCTAGGTCATTTAGATGCTAATTATTCATTTTAAGTTCTCTTGATTTTTAGCCCAAAATTTTTAATTTCAATATCTAAGATTTAAAACGAAAATTTGGGACACTAGAACTTCAACTTAACACATGGATGTTAAAATTGTGTCATGCCCGGTTTTTAACAATAAACCATATGGTAACTATATTTATGACCTGGACATGCATATAGCGATTTCATCGGTGTATAATTGAACAATGCTTATTAATTAAGCAAGTAATACATATTACAAATCCGAGATGTATATTGGAACATGAACCTGAATAAATTATTTAGAGCTCATAAAAAGATAATTAGGAGCTTCTGATAAAAGGATTTAACTGGGAGATGGAGGAATCAAATTCATGAAAACTCTAGAAAAATTTATAGAAAAAGATACTTGTCTCCTAAACGTATCTTACAAACTTTCACCTGCATACACACCAAATACATTTGACATGCAAGCAACAAATAAAATCAAACCATATCAAATGAATTTAGAAAATCATATTTCTTCTGCCACTAAATTGATAACAATTTATATAAATTTCATAAAATTTTGAAAGAATAATGATATTATAATTTTTTATTTAGTTTTTCTTATTCATGTCAGGAAATTAAAATTTTAGGGTTTGACAATTAGAGCGATGGCTAAAATAGAGTGATGATTTAGCCTACCGTTGGAAGGATGTTTTTATCATCGGACGCCTCTGTTTTATGTTTCAGAACTCTTGTAGAACAAATCGTAGCGGTTGATTTTGATTTATGAAACAGTTAAATAACCAACAAAGCCAGAAAAGTAAAAAAAGAAATCACATGGATCTTGAGCTCTCGCATCCCACAAACGAACGCACAACTCCATTATTTATTGCAACCTAGACTTCGGAAATTAGCACACAATCACATTATTCATTTTTCTCTGCTCTGTTGATCTCGACTCTCGAGGATCTGGCTGCCGTCTACTGCGTCTTTCGTTACAGCCAGCAACATGATATATCCTCATCAACAACTTGACCAGAATGGAGGCGATTGTTAGGATCTGGCCGCAACAATTTGGTCTTGCTACCTTAAAATGGAGGCGTCACAATCAGCACAACCGTCTTCTGTACAGCAAGCAACAGGAGATATTATTCTCATCAACAATATGGCCAGAATGGAGGCGTTTGTTAGGATCTGGCTGCAACAATTTGTTCTCGCTATCTCGAAATGGACGCGTCTTAGTCAGCACACTTGTTTCGTGACTTCGCTTGCCGATTCAGAATGGTGTTTGGTACTGTAGTTAGCTTTCCGGGAACACTCAGCATATCTTTTTTTTTTTTTCTACTGCGTGTAGCTTGCCAACACCGAGGAGTATATTCATGGGCAATTCTCTAGAAACCTGGGAGAGATCTAATCAAGTAATGTTTCTTGTTCCCTTCTTTCAAGCTTATGTCAAGTAGTGTTGTTTTGTAATAAATCTAGATATAAAACTAGAAAAAACTAGCATTGTTTACACCAGAATTTGGAAGAAAGATCTCATAAGCTCGAGCGCTCCCAAGATCATGTCAGCAAGGGATCAATTGCGTGCAGATCGAAATCAGCTGATTCAGATGCAACACTAGAATCAGTTTTCTTCACATAGCGCCAGCAGATAACGACAAAGACTATGATCGGTGCCGGGACGAGACATGCTGGACTCTACAAAAAGAAAAAAATTAGAGTCTAAGTTATCTTGAATTAGGAATGTTTTTATTATGCCAAAGATTGTATGGAGTTGTACTCGAGTAAGGTTCGTTTTTAGGCTTCGGGTATAAATATCAAACCCCGGCCATTGTAAGAAGATATCAATCAATCAAATACAAAGTCAATTACTTTTTTCGGCCCCGGCCACCCCTTAGGAGTAGGAGTAGAGTAGATCTTGGCGAGTTTTTCAGCAAGTACGGCTGCATTGATCCGGTCGACCTCCACTGCTTGTCTGTAAGTACCGTCATGGTTTATATCTCTGTTCGTATGGCTGCATCGATCCGGTCGACCTCCATTGCGACTCTGGTATAGGCTAGTTATCGACTCTTGTCTAATTCAAGTATGGCCTGTGTGATTCTGCCTCACACCCCACTGCTTGAATTAGATCAAGGTCAAGTTATCGGCTCTACCTTAGTATGACAGTCTTTGGTAGATTCATTAAGTTACCGATATTGCTTATTGCTTTCATTGTTTATTTAATTACAGCAATATCACTCTGCTCGATTGAGATTGATCTGGATCGGCCTTATATCTTGTTTAACTCATCGTTTGCTAATCTAAAACTGATCTAATCTACATCTTAAGCGATGAGTTATGTTTTTATTGGTTGTTTTGCGTCAATCTTAATCGTGCATAGCGTGCGGTTAAGGCATGTCCGATCTCGAGTAGATCTATTAGTTAATGAAAACTGTTCCATGGCCCGTCATCACGGCCTGTGGGATTCTGCCTCTCACCCCACTGTTGGCACCATGGAGTGGGGATCGTTAGTTGGTAGACCCGTTCCTGAGAAGGCATGACTTTAACTGTGCGCTATGCCTGAATCGGCTGTTTAGCCGATATTGAATGCGTTCACGAATAGTTCACGTTACGAGATCATTGAAGTAGA